CAAGTACTCTACAAGTTGGGTGTAGGGATATTGGTACTGCCAGATACAGAAGTGATAGGATATTGGTATTGCCTCTTAGTCACCCTAACCAAGGACTTACACATGCAATTTTCTATAGCCTAGACCTTTTGTGATGCTGCTGTTATACATAGTGCCAACACTCCACAATCTGGTTTCCTTTCAGAAACTCCTTATTCTGGTCTCGTATTGCATTTGGACTTTCCACAGGGCTTCGTATTCGATTATAGCCCCCGTAGATTACAGAACCAAATTTTATTAAAATTTGCCTCTAGTCTGACTCGAACCATTGATCTAGTCTGTAGAGGTTTGGGAGCTTAACCAATAAGCTATAGGATCCAAACCTTCTGAACAGCTTTTACTTAATAGGCTATATTAATTTATTTAGTAAAATTTTAACTTTACTATAGAGCAACTACTGATAATCATTAAGTAGCTTATTTTTGAGTATAAAACATTTTTACATTTTTCTTTCAAAAAAAACAGTAGCTTATTATTAGAGGTGGCTTATTTTCAGCAATATATGGTAATATATAAGAAAAAAATATCATTACAACAAAGTTTATATATAATTTTATATATTTTTAGCATAATTTTATATATACAAAAATTTATATTATAATATATCAAATAACTGATATATATAATATATTGCTATCTATAGAATCTGTATAACTAAAATTAAAATACTCTAAAATAATCTAATTTTTTTATAAATTAATTTTAAGATAAAGTAAAGGTAGTAAAAAGGCAATAAAAAAAGGTTTAATAATAAAATTGTATATAGAATTTTTTTTGTTAAACCACAAAAAATGGTTTTATAGCAAAATTTTTAAATTATAAATAAAAAGACGATATTTTGTTTCGATATTATATTACATCTGATCTAGAGGTTGGAACCAGATATTTTTTTATTTGTATGGTTGCATCCTTTTTATAAAATTTATATTTAGATAATTACTAGTTTTTAATTTATAGATAACTGGATAATCAAACAGATAACCGGATAACTCTGCAGATCACCAAATAACCTCACAGATAACCTAAAAACTATTTAATAACCGGATATCATAAGGATACTAGGTAATCTTGTTAGTCACAAGTATATTTTGCATTGATATTCATAGTATTATATTTTCAAATTTCAATTTATGCGTGCATTGTATTTTCAAACTTTTATTTATGCATGGCATTGTATTTTCACTACTTTTACATGAAAATATTTTCATACAAATAGAATTTATTTAATTTTTTTATTTACTACACAAATAAAAAATGTTTATACTGTAGTACCATACCAAAATACATGTGATCTGCTCTTAATATTTCTAAAGTTATTACCAAATATATTAAGCATTAGGTGTATGTACATTGTTATGCATTGTAATCTATGCATTACATCACTAATTCGATATAGCACTCAGGAATCTAGAAACAAATTCAGGCTGCAGTCCTCTGCATGTATCTAATGAAAAATTTTTTACAAAATAAAAATTCTAAACCAGCATAAAGCATAATACTATAATTTTATCTTTTAAATTATTTTTTAAACAATTCTAGATCCTTGATATAAAGGTTTTCTAATTTCCCTAGTATCATCCATAAAAAAATGCAGTATATGTTATAATTAAAGTTCAGAAATATGACAATAAAGAGCCATTCTAGTATCGGCTATAAAAAAAATGTAGCCAACATGATATATATCAAATCTTCGTTTTATGGTCAACACTAACGATATTGATTTTTGTCAATTACGAATTTCTTGCAGATTAAATAAATCCTTTAATGCTATTGCTATACATGATGAAACTATAAATTAAAAAATGAATTAGTTCAAAGACGTGTTTAATGCAAACAAAATAAATAATGATTTAACATACTTTAAAAAATCAGAAGTTGTCAAACTTTTATACCATTCGACCTGAGTTGCAAAAAAATATCGTACTAAATCCTCTATTGATCATTTTTGTTTAAATAATAATTTGGACTATTTGGAGGTAATATATTTAATGGGCATACTATTTTTCTTAGCATTCAATAATAATAGGTATATTCTTATCTTGAAAATGCAATAATAGCTTATATTAAATTTTTAAAAAAATATTAATTTGGCTATGACGCAGCTCACTGCATATACAGACTTTATTAGTTATGATCAGATTTTACTGCATATATTCCAGATTTAACTAATATCTGGAAACATGCTTCCGACAATATGCTAATTATTTCTCAAAAATACTAAATGCTCGAAAGTTGTAGGTAAAAGTGATGTTCTTTTTGCTATTATTATATTTCCAGTATCGCTAAAAAGTCTTTTGCTTGCAGTTGATGTTGCTGGAATGGCCAAGTATTTTTGAGCTAACTTACTCAATATAGAGTATCAGTTTCGATTATTACTCTACCAAGTTAGTAAACACTGATTCTATGAAAGTTCTTGCACTCCAAAATAATCTGAAACCTCCAATTGCAGGCTTCTATTCTGAAATATTGAGGCCAATAAAGTGTTCGGATTGGTTTGTAGATTGTTTTTCTTTTCTTCTGTTCGATATAAAATCTGTACTTCTTCGTATTCAGCTTTAAGCAATTCAACTATTCTTTTTTTTAGAGATCTCAACATAAAAAAAAAAGCTTTACATCGAGAATCCAAAAGCGTTGCTAGCATGGTTTCATCACTAGGCACATCCCAATAATGCTCCATGGCACTATATAATGCTAATTTTATCCTTGCTTCAAGATTATGCCAATTTTGCGAATTATTAATACTAATTCATTGTTGTTGATTTGATATATAGTATTCTTCATTGTCTTCACAAACAACATCATCATCAAAAACATCTTCAGAAGAATCGAAGTCAATATCTGAGGTTTTATCAAGCAAAAGCCCCTGGTTGATTACTGTAATTGCACCATACATAAAACTAATAGTAGCATATTTGCTACCCCTTAATAGATTAGAAAAAGCCTTAGAACTATAATTAATAATGAAATTGCATCTCATTCATTATGTGTTAGATTAATTTTTTCTAAACGAAGGCCATCTTTCCGGTTTGTACTATCATTATCTAGTACTAAATTCGTTATCATCATATTAATTATATCTCAAATTTTTATAAGCCATTACCACGAAAAGTAAGATGAATTCCACCTTGTAGGGACGTTAGCTATAATTTGTAGTTGATAGTCATTATTTTCTAAATTCTAAAATAATTAAATAATTAATCTCTATGCTAGTAATTTATATACAAAATAAAATACCTACTATATTTTCAAGTCTACTCAAGTTTTTTTGTACATTTATTAATCTTTCTGTTTGTTTAAGTGTGATAAAAAACAACATAAGTTATTTGGCCTATGCAATAAGAAGTTTGGCATCTAACAACCCTTTTCTGATAATGAGCTACAAGGTATGGGCTGTATATAGAATTTGAACAATATTTGGCATATATCTTATAGCCTTGACTATGTTGCTTCCATTATCTGTAGTGATTGTAAAAACTTTATTTGTTATTTCTACTCATCGATTATAAGATTTAATGCCTTTGCAATTGATTTCCCATCATGTAGATAAGGTAAATATTTAATTGTAAGAACTAGCTCATTTAACTAAAAATTATTGTCAATAGACAAACACGTTACTCCAAGGTATCCCATACGATCACATCCTGTCCAAAAGTCACAGATCAAAGAACAAGATATAATGTTATCATAAAGCATTTTTTTAAGACTTT